GAAAAAATGTTCAACATCACTGGTCATTCAAGGGATGCAGATGAAAACAACACTGAGATTCCACCTCACCCCAGAAAGAATGGCTATCAAGAAATCAACCAATAACAAATGCTGGCAGGGTTGTGGGGACAAGGGAACCCTTCTTCATTGTTGGTGGGAGTGCAGACTGGTGCAACCACTGTGGAAATCCATATGGAGATTCCTCAAAAAACTAGGATTAGAAGTCCCATTTGACCCAGCTATTCCTCTACTGTGTATCTTCCCAAAAGAATTAAAAGAATCATACCACAGTGATATATGTGCACCCATGTTTATAGCGGCACAGTTTGTAATAGCTAAACCTTGGAAACAGCCCAAGTGCCCATCAACTGGAGACTGGCTAAAGAAGATGTGTTTTTTTATAAAATGGAGTACTACTCAGCCATAAAGAATGAGAAACTAGAGACATTTATAGCTAAATGGATGCACATTGAGCACATACTCTAAAATGAAATAAACAGGACACACCTATGTAAATAACGAAGTTTCTCTGGTGTGAGAAAAACTAAAAGTGTAAATAAGGATCAAAACGTATAACTGATATTGTGAAACAGGAAGAAAAGGTCTAAAGGAATGGGGGAAATGGGAGGGTTAGAAGAAAGGAAAGATGGGAAAAGAAAAAATATGAGAAAAGGAAAAAAAATGGAAACAAATTATTTGTAAATAGTGAAGGGTGGAGGGGGTGAAGGGAGGGCCGAAAATGGGGAAAAATAAGAACCAAGATACATCATGTAAAGGTACAAGATCCCAATGATGAATGTAACTGTATTGTATACCTAAAATGTACCAATAAACTTAATTTTAAAAATCCTATTATAAGCCCATCTTGTTTTGCTGTTTTATATTTTAAGTAAAATTACTGTGTTGTCTGAATCAACACACACAACGCTAATATTTAGTGAGATTTCTCATTTTAACTTAACCTCTAAACCGATATTCTTGAAACAGACTTGGGTGTGGCTTTGAAAACAACCCTGGGTGAGGCAGCTGAAGATAAGCCAACATCTGTTGAAGGAAACACACTGTGAACTTTAGTGCACCCTTGCCCGTTTTTATTTCCAAAATCTGTCTGATATTGCTGGCACAGAAAGTCTGCCTTGCATCCCCATCAAAACTCCAGTGCCCTCAGGATGTGGACTGTTAGTAAACATGTGGGACTCACGCTGAGTTCAGCCCCTAGCTCCCACACTAGCTGTGTGCCCTGGGCACACGTCTGCATCTGTGCAGGCCTCCATTTCTTGTCTGAAAGATGAAAATGACACCATCATCTACTTGCTTGGTTTAAGATGAATTGTGCTAGCCGGGCACACTGCGCAGGCCTGAAATCTCGACTACTTGTAAATCTGAGGTAGGAGGATGCCAAGTCTACGGCCAGCCGGGGTAACTTAGTGAGACCTTCTCCCAAAAGTAAAATGAAAAGAGCTGGACACAGCTCAGTGGAAGGGCACCCACCTCAGTACCCAGCACAGGCTGGCGTGCAGCTGAGCTCATTTATGCCAGGTGTGCGGTCCAGGGCACAGGAAACTCTTGCACTAAATGGCACCGACCGCTGTCATGACCATGACCTTCAAAGGCTGCACCTCTTCAGAAGGGACCCGGAAGAACATCCTGTCCTGACTGAGACCCAGCCGCCTTCCTTAGCAGGGGAACGGGGCACAGTCATGCTTCTCTCACTGTTCTGTGCTGCTGACTCTTTCTTCAGAGAGGAGCACCCTGCAGTCCAAGCTGACCTGCCAAGTGCGGGGTTACAGGCGTGTGCCACCATGCCTAGTCTGTCCCATCCATTCTTTTTTGGTTTTCTGCACTGAGCTATATCTCCAGCCTTTTTAATTTTTCATTTTGAGACCGAGTCTTACTAAGTAAGCTCAAACTTAACAATTCTCTTGCCTCAGCCTCCTACAGTATTGAGATTATAGATGTACACCACCACGCCCAGCTTCAGTATGATTTCCATACCCCTCCCAAAATTATCTTTCAGGAATGTGTAAAGTCATGAGGGGTCATGGCACACGCCTATAATCTCAGCACTCAGGAGGCTGATGCAGGAGGATCTCCACAAGTTTTGAGTCCAGCCTGGGCTACATGTACACAGTAAGTTCCAGGCCAACCTGAACTACAAAGCAAGACCCTGTCTCAAAAGGAAAAAAGAGGGAGAGCTGAAATAACGTACAAGTAACTGGTTTATGAGAAGATGCTGGCCGCAGTCTACAGCTGTCATCAGCAAAATCTGCACTGCTTCCATTCCACTTCACCCAGTGCACATGAAGAAATCGAAATGGAAACTATCCTCCGAGAAAACTTAAAATTTTTATTTTCTAATTACTGTTTACTAACGTTTAGAAGAGACCCACTAGCCTGTTTATAAAATGGAAACGACAAAGGCAGCTGTGGCTGTAACAGGAGACGCTCACCGCCACCCTGTCCCTGCAGATGCCTTGCAGGGTCTCCACCCTTCCTCTCTCCGACCCTGCACCCCGTGAAGTGCTTGTACACTAAAGGCTTTTCCACATGTTCAGGGAACTGTCTCCTAAATGCTGTTTCCACTGAGAAGCTAGAGACAGAAAGTTCATGCCCTCATCAGCACGTTTCCCTGAATAAATTTCCCACTTTACAGAACAAAGGAACAACCAGGTGCCCTGTGTGGAGAGCGGCACGCTGGGGGCCTCTGCCAGCAAGCCCCCACAGTCTGCCATCAGGATCTCCAAGGACAGGTGGAGGACAGCACCCATCTCCCTTCTGAAGCAGACAGTCGCAAGGGAACCAGCCCCACAGGGCACATTCTGAGGCGCCCTCCTGCTGAGGCCCCACCGCAGTCTGACTAGTGGCACCACCCGGGTGGGAGCAGGATGGTCGGCTGAGAACTGGGAAGCAACCTTAACCCACAGGATCCTGCAGCACTGCACGTGCCTGCCTGCGACCCTGTACCAGACCACCCGCTGCACACAGCTCTGAGACGAGAGCAAGGAGCAGCAGGGCTCTCCCCTCCTCGCGCCCTTCCCTCCCAGGCCTGCCCAGCTCCCGGCAGACTGGAAAGTGTGTGACAACATCCCTCTGGGCCACAGGCACTCACCTGCCTCGTAATTTCAGGTAGATCCGAACACTCTCACTGCTACCTCCCAGAAGGCGAAGATGGACAACAGTACTCCTGTGCTATAAAGAAGGATAAACTTCAGTCATCTGTAGGAAAACGGATGTTCCTTGAGATCATAATATTAAGGGAAATAAATCAGACATATAAGCTTAAATATTGCATAGTTTCTCTCCTAGGAGAAACCCAACATATAAATGAATTAAAGAGCAAAGTAAAAGATATTAGGAAACAGGGAAACAGAACTTTCGAGGAAGGGAAGGGGACCGAGACAGTGAGTGAGAATTCAAGTGCCGTGTGCATGCACCAGCTCCCCAAGATGAAGGTAGGTACTGTGAACGTGTGCTGATAAAAATGGAAATTAAAACACACTGTGTGTAATGCTCTAGGCAAACTGGGCAAGGATCAGAACATTTCCTATTACCTTGGCATGTCTGTTTTTTGGTTCTGAGACAGGGTCTTGCTATGCACCCCAGGCCGGCCTCAAGCTCCCAGCGATCCTCCTGCCTCAGCCCCCTGAGTGCTGGGATCTCAAGCGTGTGCCGCCAGGCCCAGCTCTTACTCCCTTGGAAACATGATTTAAAATTTAAGTTTGTTGAGCTGTATCTTAAAGTATATAAATTTTACTTGAAATTTCAAAGCAAACTTTGCTATGCTTTTCTTAGGCTATTGTCATTCTGATTAAAGACATCAAAAAGAAGTAACCGGAGAGGGCCCAACGGAAGTGTGGCCCCACTCAAAAGTGCCCCACAACGCGCTCCACTGCCCTCGCTCTCCACAGCTCTCCACACCAGAGCCTGTGCTCTCCCAAGGCACCCACCGCCCAGGTGGCTCCGCCTGAGACCTGCTCCTTCCGACACCTCTGACCAACCACCGAAAACTGAGCTGCATTCTCCCTACCTTGCTATTTCACACTAGTTTCACAAAATAGAACAAGGTCAGAAAGCTAACTCGCTTTATGTACACATTTGGATCATACCCACAATTATAAGGCTGTTTGCTTTGGGATTATAGAAACCATGGCACTTTTTTAGACAAGGTCTTTTTTATGCAGCTCAAGCCAGCCTGGAACTCACTATGTGGCACAGGCTAGCCTCAAATTTCTAAATCTTCCTGCCTCAGCCTCCAGAAGACTGGGATTACAGGTGTGCACCACCGCACCAGGTAACTCCTCCACTTAATACTTGTTTCATTTTTGCCTTGCTCTGCTTTCTGATTTCTCTTTAACTTACTGCTCATTTACTGATCCTTAACCTGTAGTTTATATTATCTCTAGTACCCATCAACAGCAAATAAGAGTAGGAAACACCTCCAGTTTTACAATTCAGGAAGAATAAATACATATTGTAAAAGTTACATAGCTAGGTGTACCCAGTCTTTCTAACTCCGTATAGCTCTTTTTTTTTTGGTAGCGGAGATCAAACTCTGGACCTTGCACTTTCGAGGCAGGCAGTGGAACCACTGAGCTAAATCCCCAGCCCCGTATAGCTCTTTTTATTAAACCACTAGTGAAATACATTAAACTAAAGGAAAAACATAAAATATAAAACTTCATTCTTGGATAAAATGTTTGTTCAAACAAACCAACCATATTGGCATGTACTTGTACTCTTACTACTCAGAAGGCTGAGGCATGAGGACTGCTTGCACTCAGTAGTTCAAGATCAGCCTAGGCAACATAGTAAGACTCTGTCTCAAGGAGGGGAGGTACTCAAAATAAAGCAAATTTCTTGATGAAAAGAGCAGAGTTTATTTCATTCATTCACTGTAACAAGTAACTCCAACAATCCCCTTGCAACCAACACAACACGGAGTTTTTATGGCACTAGAGCAGTTCCTTAGCGCAGACCAAAGTGTCAAAACTGGCACACAAAACCAAATTCACAGCTCTGTCCATGAGACAAGGGTCTAATTTCCTCCAATGATAAAAATTAGACCTTAACTAAGGCCAAATCCAGCCCAGTGCCCGGGTTTTTTTGTTTGTTTTTGGTACTGGGTATCGAACTCAGGACCTTGGACTTGTGAGGCAGGCGCAGTGCCACTGAGCTAAATCCCCAGTCCCCCAGTGTCTGTTTTTATTTTATTTATTTATTTATTTATTGGGGGGTACCAGGGATCGAACTTGGGTCCTTGCGCTTGCGCAGCAGGTGGTGAAACTGCTGAGCTAAATCCCCGGCCCAGTGTCTCTTTTTATAAGTCCACAAGGCAAGGATGGTTTTTAAAGCACAAAAAAAATCAAAATAATATATGAAACAGGACTGGGGATTTTGCTTAGTGGCACCATGCCTGCCTGGCAAGCACAAAGTCCTGAGTTCAATTCCCAATGTCAGAAAAAAAACAAAGAACAAAATAATATATATGAAACAGAATAAATGGCCCAGGAGGTTTCAAATTTCAGTGTCTAAAAATAAGGTTTTATTGGGACAGGGGCAATGGTTCCTTTACAAATCCTCTGAGGCTGCTATTGTACAACGGCACAGGTGAGCAGAGAGACGGTCCCAACTCAAGGCCTAGGACAGTCACAGCTGGCCCTCTGCATGTCTGCCAATGCCAACCTCAAGGGGACTTCACCTTCCTCAAACATTACTCCTCACAACTAAGGCTTTAACACTGAAAACCACCAGTGCAACAAGCATTCTCAAAGGCCTGCCCTGTTCTGGGCACTGTGCTAGCTGTACAAATGGTAGTGAAAGGAGCAACACAGACGGACGAAGGGCATGGTGCGAGGGACACAGCAGCACCTCCCCCGCAAGTGACCACCCAGTTACTTGGTCTCTCCTGGCCTTTTCATCTGAAAAGATGACAGTGCCTACCCAGCAGGGGTTTTGTTAAGGATTCAGTGAGATAATACCAAAAAGCACAGTGTGGAGCATACACAAAGTACTTCAAAAAGGCCGGGGACCTAGCTCAGTGGTGCCGCTGCCTGCCTCACAAGTGCAAGGTCCCGAGTTCGATCCCAGGTACCAAAAAAAAAAAAAAGTACTTCAAAAGATGAAAATTTAATTTTACGATGTGGATTTCAGACTTTCTCTTTTGTCAATTAAAGGATGTCCCAATTATGAGGCATCATTTAAACAGAGAAGGATAAAAAAGGAGCCTACAGCGCGCTGCACCTTGACACACACAGTACCTGGCAGGGCAGCGCCACAGCCCGAGGCTAAGGGGGCTGCGTCCCAGGGGCACTGAGAGAGCCGGGGTGCAGTGGCCATGGGGCGCCCTGGCACATGTGTCTGTGCCCTTCAGACCGCCACTATATGTGGTAAGAGCTGGACATGTGGCCACACCTGAAATCCCAGAGCCTTAAGGGCTGGGACAGGAGACCATGAGTCTGGGCCAGCCTGGGCTCCAAAGCCCTGTCTCCAAAAAAAGAAAGAAAAAAAAAGGAGTGTGCAAAGTTGAGTCCTCAAAAACCAAACGTTCTCCTTCACAGAATAACATTTCTTCCTTGTTCACTGTACCCATCTTTCAAGGATAAGTTTAAATCGATCTTTATGTAGCTGTCCCTGAAATTTTAAGGCCTTATGTTGCTGGCACTCATCTTCCAGAGAGTATGGCTTCAATTTCCCAAAGACTTTCACACCAATCCTTAATCATTCAGGCTGTAACACACAAGGCAGCAGTGCTTAGCACACAATGGGACACAAAGCCGGGGGTGGGAGGAGAGCCCTGGAAATGCAGGAAGAGGCCGCCTGCCCGTGAAGGTCTGTCCAGGCAGAGCAAAGTCTCCACAAAGCTCCAAGGGAAGGAGCGCAGTCCCATCCATGCCTCCGAGCACGCATCTAAGCAAGGACACAGAGGGCTCAGTTTCAATGGTGGGTAAATATGGCCTCTGCCTCCACGCAGTATAATTCTTGTTGAAGAAAAATCAAGGGTAAACAAATAAATAAATCACTAAAATTGAACGACAAAAGAAGCATCTGAATTTGTAACAGGGGAACCTTTCAAGAAACATTTAACTGGGTATGGAGGGGCTCACCTGTAATCTCAGCACTCAAGAGGCTGAGGCAGGAGGATCCCAGAGTTTGAGGACGGCCTGAGCTAGTGAGTTCACCTGGACTACACAGCTCAGCTAACTGGTTTAGTTAGGAACTCAAATGACCTGCCAGTTCAGTTAGGCAGAGGCTTAAAGCTGAGAAACAGTGGGCATGCAGAGCAGTACAGGACCTCCCAGGTGCAGAGGTCAAGGGCAATTCCCTGAAGCAGACATGAGCCTCACGTGACCCGGGAGACCACTGTCCATGCACACAAACGTGCAAGTCAAAGAGGCTGAACTTGGAGCACAGCACAGGAAACTGGGATTTTGTGCTAACTATAATAGGAAGTCAAAGGAAGGTTCTTTAGTTTTGTAAAATTTTTTATTTTATTCTGGGTACATAATCCAGGTACATGAATCAATATTTGAAAGATATGCAGCTGTTCCCCAACTTGGTTTTGTCCTGTGAAGTGAAACACATTAACTACAGCTAGCCCACCATGCCCAGCTCAGCCAGCTACCTTCGCCATGCTCAGAACACTTACACCAGCCCACAGCACAGCAAAATCATCCCACACAAAGCAGATCTGACAGGTGTTGGACATACACATAATTTATCCAATACTGTATGAAAAGGAAAACCAGCCAGGCGTGGTGGCACGCTCAGAAAGCTGAGGCAGGAGGATCAAGCATTCCAGGCCAGCCTGGGCTACAAAGCAAGACCCAGTCTCAAAAAAAGAAAAACAGAATGACTGCACAGGTATGCATTTGTGCCACTCAGTAAAAGAAACTCAAGTCAGGGATTGTTTCTATAAGGTTACATACAGACTGGGTGTGGTGGCACATTCATGTAATCCCAGCACTCAGAAAGCTGAGGCAGGAGGATCTCCGGGAGTTAGAGGCCAGCCTGGGCTACACAGTGAGTTCAAGGCCAACCTGAACTGCATACTGAGACCCTGTCCCAAAAGAAAACCCAAGGTTACATACAGAAGACTAAGTTTCCCTCTGACTTCTGTCCAACAGTTCCCCAACCCTAGAGACAAACACTTTATCATCTCTGGTGAGTTTGAGAAAGGACAGAACAAGATG